AAGGGGAGAAAAAGAAAAAAAAAATCTTTGCATAAATACTTTTATTTCAGGAAGCTCCTGCGCATCATGTTTTGTGCTGGTTTCTTTGCACCGCTGCTTAGAGCTGTCGCAGCACGCTTCAGTTTTAAGGGAATTCCTGGAGGAAAAGAGCCATCGGGAAGGACGGAGTCTACCTTATTCCAAAGGGGGCTAGGAGGGGAGAGTGGGGCACAGAACAAAGCGGGGTGAAGTGCTGGGAGGGTGTGAATGCCAAGCCCTGGAGGGTGGCAAGGGGCGCTCAGGGGGTCAGTCGGGCTCTCCCAACACCCTGCACTACAAATCACCAACCTAATTTTGGAGCTTGTGGCAAGGGCTCCTCATGCCCGGAGTATGGATGACCCGCTGCCCTCCTCCCAGGGCTCTAGTGCTGGAGCCCATGTGCGAGGGCGTTCACACAATACCCTGTGGCACCCCCCAGGCTGCCTTTGTGTCATCTGCCTAGACAGGTCAACTCTGATGGGTTCCAGCCTGGAAGTGTCCTGTGGGCCAGCTCCCCTGGGGCTGATGGCTTCACATGGGAGTATCCCTGACCTGCGGGACACCTAGGAGCTGGGGCTTCTCCAGGAGTGAGCAACAGGGTCAGGGTGCAGGTCCGAGATGCTCAGGCCTTGCAGTGGTGGCTGGGGGCTGCGTGCAGCAACATGGGTACCTGAAAAAGACCCAGAGCTACATCCTGGCCTAGCACCCAGAGTCATTGGACTCCTTGGGAACAGTTCCTGCCTTTGCTGGCTGCCTTGCAGAGGCCCCCAGCCCGGTGGTAGCAGAATAGGGAAACTGAGGTACGCGGCCAGCATCTGAAGAGCCCGTGGGGTTTGATGAGCACTGTCTAGGTGGGAAGCATGCTATGGTGTGCAGGGGGAAAGGTCCCAGGGAGGGTTAACTAGCAGGTAATGGGGTAGAGGGATGGGGGGGAATGACTCTGAGGAAGTGGGAATCTGGGGTGCCAGCAGGCTCGATAGGGGAGCAAAGGAATGCAGGGGGAATGGTGCTAGAGAGGGTTAACTTGTCTGACGGGGGCTCCCCTGTCTAGGTGGGAAGCATGCTATGGTGTGCAGGGGGAAAGGTCCCAGGGAGGGTTAACTAGCAGGTAATGGGGTAGAGGGATGGGGGGGAATGACTCTGAGGAAGTGGGAATCTGGGGTGCCAGCAGGCTCGATAGGGGAGCAAAGGAATGCAGGGGGAATGGTGCTAGAGAGGGTTAACTTGTCTGACGGGGGCTCCCGGACGGGGCGGGAGGATGCCAGGGAGTGGGGGCCACAGCAGAAACGAGGTGGGGCCGAGATAAGGAGCCCAAGCCCCTGCCCG